ATTATGACCTAGTAAGTATAACCATTTTTTGCTTTTCAACCTTAGTCAAAATTTCAAAATCTCGTTTGTTTTAACTAAATGGTTTATACTTATTTTTAGGCATTTTCGATTTTAATAACCTGATGATGGACTGTTTAGTCCGAAAACGTTTGTTCTATTGATGTGGCCCTTTTAAGGGTTTTTTAAATAAATATACCCACTTACAAAGATTAACCTCTTTTTGTTATACGTGGTATACAGCCAGCTACAGGAATTTTTCCTTGTGGAGATAAACTAGTGCCCATTTGCGGGGCACTAGTTTATCTCCATACAGCCAATTACGGGGCTTTCCCATTAAATTTGAATTGCTTAGTAACTTAAATAATTTTTCTTAACTCCTGCCTGCGGCAAATGACAGTACAATAAACAATTCATACGTTCCTAAACCAAAACAAAGTTGTAATCTTCTTAAACGAAAAACCATATCCTCCACTCCTCAATGTAAAACTGCCTTACAATCTTAAACATCTAAAACAAAAAAAATCAGTGTCACATCTGACAATTCCTAACCCATATCGGAATGAGTTTAGGACATATAAAAAAAAATACAATTACCAATTCTATCAGAAATTTCATTTATTGAAAACATAATTAAACAAATTGACCCAAAAACTAATCTCGGTTGAATTACAAAATGTCACTCAAAATGAAATCAGAAATATACTTTCTTGTTTACCAGACAAGGATAGTGATGGGCAATCATAGAACAATTGATACTCTTCAGTGAAACTGTCAATCTATTATAAAACGAAAGACTAATTTGCTTAATTTTCTAGAAAGTCATACAATTGATGTCATTCTTCTGAACGAAACTTGGTTTTCACAAAATAAACATTTATATTAAAGGTTTTAATATTGTTAGGGTTAATCGACGTGACGGCTATGGATGCGTTGCTGTTTTAGTTGCAAACAACATTTCCTTTTCAGATATAAAGTATATCTAGAACAAGTAAAATTATCAATACTCTGTATTTACAAACCTCCTAAAATATATATCTCATCCAAAGATTACAAAAAAATTATTTGGACAAATAAAGTTTTAATTGGTGGCGACTTTAATAGTCATTACTGTAGATGGGGGCACTAAACGAGTGTCCTTCAATGATAGACTTAACATTAGTATCTCCTCATTTAACAGGCTTTACTGCCTGGAATTCTCTAAATTACTCACTAGTACAATCCATATCCTTATTAAAATCACCATAGATTTGAAATATTTTTCATTAATAATTCATACCGCCACAAAATGAAAAGAGTCTTCAGCGGACTAGTCTATATTTGAAAATTACTTGGAAAAATGCCATACAGACACTCATTCTATAGATGTTACCTCTTTGGAAATGTTTAATAACTAAATAAAAACAATTAGTCAAGCTGCAAACTCTGCAAAAATCATTTCAACCAAAATCCGGTCTTCCCGTATGGTGGGACGATGAATGTAAAAATCCTCAAATAAACAACAAGTTATTGAACTCCATATTGAGTGAATGTACTAATAAAACTATAATTTACACAGATGGCTCTTAAACTGAATGATGGGAAAGTAGAGTCTGAAGTGTACATTCCTTCCAATAACAAATCATTTACAATAAAACTTCCTTTACATTGTTCTATTTATACTGCAGAAGCAGTAACTATTAGGAAAGCTCCAGATCAGAGACTCTATGTCAGTTCTTAGCGAACTTAATAATGTGTTCAACCTAAGTTGAGTTCAATACTGAGTTTAACCATAAGATATGTGAGCTGCTAAAAAATGAGAAACAACGATATAACATTTATTTGGCAAAAAGTCACACCGGAGTAACAGGTATTGAAATAGTAGACGAGCTTGCTAAGCATTCTACTCGTTCTGGTTTTATCATCATCATCATCATCATCCAGCCTTCATTTATCACGTCTACTGCTGGACATAGGCCTCCCTTAATCTTCTCCATTCTTTACGATTTTGTGTTCTTTGTTTTGGTGATACACTGATGTCGTCAGCTCAACGTGTACAACAGCCCAATATTTACACAGTAACGATTCTAATCAATTTGTATAATAAAAAAATAAATTTTAACTTAAGCTTTTAATTTGGTAACTAAAGCAAAAAATATTTCCTGGGAAAGTGAATGCGAAGAACTTAACAAGCCAGCAGCAGTAGCCAGCAATATTTATAAATGAAATGTGTTAAAATTATATTAATAAATAATAACAGTAGCAACCGTCAAGTAACATACTACCAGTATTTAAATTAACTAATCATTCTGACCACTTCCTACATCAATCCACATATATAGTTACACACATCTATCAATATTTCACTCGATAATAATACATATAATTCACAATATTAAAGTAGTCTCCACTCTTGTAACACATTTACTTAACTCAGATTATAACCCGTCCATCTTTCTTTATAACACACTTTATTTTCACTTAACCACACATACTTAACCCAGGGAATAACATTCTACTCGGCAATAATACAATTTACAGAATTCAATTTCCTATACATATCTGCTTTCCATCTTCCAATGTTGAGAAAACATAAAGGGCCTTTTATAAAAATCTTAAGTTCACCACCAATGAAAACAGATATCTGTATAGTTGGTTGCCTACCAGTACCCACAACATTTTATCAAACTTCAGTTCACCTACATTATTAAGAATTTTTTTCCCAACGTAATTTTATGATAAATTCATACTTTTAACTACAACATATTAATGGTTGCCACTCTTATTATTATTATAATTTTAACATATTCAATTTTTAAATATTGCTTGGTACTGCCATATTCAGACAAATACCTCAAGTTACATTGACTGCTTTGTTCTGACTTCCGTCCTAACATGTCATTATTGTCATTTCTAGATTAGGGGGGCAGTACCGATCATTTGCCAGTTAGTTTTATCGCTCATCGTACTGATCTAGACCTACTTATAAGTCAAAAAGAGGTATTTTTGTTTACATTTTATATTTTATTTTAGTGCATTGTATTTTCTCACATAAATGTCTTATCTCTCCCACGCTATTACATATTGAACTGTTTTTATTAATCTAATTTATTGTCTTTTATTTATTATCACAGGTTCTACATTTATAACACTTACAAGTTTATTAAAATCTTATATAATAAATATATAAAAATATATATTTATTACACTTTTACACTTATCACTAAAAACATTTTCACCTGTAGCGGTTCGAAGTTGCAACCTCGTTGGTAACAGTTTCTAACGGCTGTTTATAACTGTCGGGCGTATAATGGTTCTGGTCGCTCCGGTATCCACCAACAACGTATGCCTTTTACCATTTATTTCTCCATCTACATATACACTATCTTCAAGATATTTCAAAGAAGCTATTAGTATAAGAGGGTCTTTGAAAAAGTTCCGGGTAGAAGCTGCCCCCCTAAGGCCGACATATCCTAGTTTTCCTGATGGGGAGTTTCTTGATTTGCATCGTACCTAGGGTGCTCACAGTTTAGCATCTTATTGCCTTTGTTTTCTTGTATGTAATAATTTTCATCATATTAATGAGCTCGTCAAGTTTATCTTCATCTCCTTTCTCTTTTACAGTCCTAACTTTACTGTACCCGCCAGAAACCTGCCTTGCTGACTCGTATTTGAGGGCGGTAGATAAGACATCAACCAGCGTGTTGTAACGAGCTAATCGCAGTGTTCTCTGCATTTCATGATCACGAAAACCATCCATAAACGTTTGAACGGCCAACTTTTTCATCCTGTCTTCGGGAGCTGTTGGATAAGCACATCGTACTAATCTGGCAATATCTACCTATATTCTTGAAGAGCGTTTTCTTGCCTCGTCTTCTTTTGTCTCTAGTGTAATTGAATTGTTTCCTTTCTCTGCTTACCCTGTTTCCTTCATCTTCTTTTCCATGTCTTTCATGTTTTCTTCGAAGGCCAACTTATCATCAGCAAGTTGGTTTTTTAACGAAGATATTCTATCGTCGAGGGCAGACATCTCAGAAGTGACTTCAGAGATGTTAGCAGAAACTTTGCTTTCCAGAGAAAAAATCTCGATAAAAACTTTCTAAAAAAGCGATGTCGGCGGAAACTTTGTTCTCTAATGATGCGTCGTCACCAGAAACATTGGCCACATCACCAGAAACTTTGGCCATATCAGAAGAAACTTTCGAAATATCGCCAGAAACTTTCGAAATATCGCCAGAAACTTTCGAAATCGATGAGATGACGGTAGCATGTTTGTCTTCAAATATATGTTTCCGGATCCAAACCTTCGTCCTGCAAAGAGTTCTTTAGTCGTTGGACTAAATCAGCCTTTTTTCCGTTAGAAGCTAATTCTCTGTTCTCGAGAAGTCTTCTTAAATTCGTAACTATGAGCTCATAAATCTTCGTCATTTTTACAATTTATTTAAAATCTTCAACTTTTGACACCAAATGAACTGTTTTTATTAATCTAATTTTTTTTTTAATTTCATTAGAGTTTATTAGAACGTTTATATATTTATTAGTTTTACACTTACCACTAAAAACTAGAATACAACTACTTTAATTTATATTATTTATTTACAATAGTTATTTCCCGTTACAATTATATTTTCGGACTTGCTTTTTAATAAAATGTCCCATATATGCCAAACAACCGCTATTCCGAAATTCCGGCGACCCCTTTCGAATAGACTAGAAGATTCAGAACCAGGTCGACAGGTTTTTAGCTGAGGGGAACCCGTTTGTCTAGAATTTCTTTCGGCCCCGATCGGAACGCTGGTGTATGATCTGGAAAATACTTGAATGGAATAGAATTAGTTAGTAATAATGTGTTTACAGTTTTATGAGTCATTATTTATCGTAACAGTATTATAACCAAATGAAGTTATACTACAAATATATCCGAAAGATGTGCATAAGATCTTTTAAATTTAATAGTATCTCCTAGAATTAGTTTATATGACTAATTTTATTATTTAGAAATTCTTTTAAAAACTGTTTTATAGGTGGAGACGATGAAGAGTATATATTCCATCTTCATGGTTACCAATTTTATGTAGTTGGAGCAAGAATGTCAAAAACACCTTTTAAAAAAAGTGACGTTGAAAAATTGGATGCTGACTATGATTTTATCAAGCGGAATTTAAAAAATCCAGTCAAGAAAAATACTGTAAGGGTGCCCAAGAATAGTGTTGTTGCTGTGAGATTCTTAGCGAATAATCCAGGTAAGTGTTTCCATCATCATTTATCCCAGTTAAAAAAATACAAACATTCTATGTTGGTAGAGTGGTTATTTCGCGAGAATCTTATTTCAAATAATTAATTTTTACTACTACTTATTTCAAATTACATAAAATGCGTACTTAGCAATTGCATTATAAAATATAGTGGTCGAGGAAATAAAGCCCAAAAATAGGCCTTACTATCAGTTTTCCAGTATTCGTATATCTACGAACTTTGTGACCGTATGTGATTATAAAAAAATGGAAAATTGCATCTGTGCATTAGAAAAATGCATTTTAAAAGTGTATTTTTAAGTATTCAAAGTTACAAAATTTATAACTCAATGAATATTGATAAAAATGAGTTTTTAAGTAAGTAACACGTTTTGGTTAATTATATAATACATTTAAAAAACTCCAGAAAAAGGTGTTGGTAACTTAGTGGGTACCAGCTGACGGTGAAGACCCTAAGACTCTTGTCAGTATCATATTCGTGTTCGACGACTTCGAAAGCCCACGAATAACGAGTTTGTGGATAATTACATAATGAATGTTTAAAAAACTCCAGAAGTAGGCGGTGATAACTGTTTCCGAGCACCAGGTACATTGATGGCTCTTACCGTGTCATACTCCCGTTTAGAGACCTCAAGATTATCCCGAGTAATAAAATTTGACTCAATTCTATTAATATTTCTCGAGATATAAATTTTTTAACTTTGAATACCGAAAAGTCCACTTTTAAAATTCATTTGTGCCGTTTTTTATTTTTTTAATCACATAGGATTACAAAGTTTGTAGAGATTATTACGATTAAAATCCCAAAACCATATTTAAATTCATCTTACTTTACAGACTTTTTTTTTAGAACTGACTTTACGGACTTTTTTAAACACAGTGACAGTAAGAAAAACAACATACCTAGGCCACATACTGAGAAATAATAAGCACCAATGCGCTCAACTAATTGTTATATGAAAGATCGAGGACAAGAGAGGACTGGGAAGGAAAATATTATCGTGGCTAAGAAACATCCGACAAGCTGAAGACAGCGAAGAATTTGCAATTGTAGTAGCCACTTTAGCCACTTTAACCCTCTAACTGCAAGATTTTAAGAATTATTCTATCTAGTTGGGAATTTTTTTTCAAGTTTAATATTCCATTAAGAAACCTAGAAACGCTATAAAAATGTAATTACCTAAAAATAAAGTAAAAAAAAAACGAAAAAGAATGTGTGCACACTATTTTTTATGGTGATAATTATAAAAGCAGATTTTAGCATGACAACATAAATGATGATCACATTTGCTACACACACACATTGAATTTTCGACACTGCAAAATTTAAATTTTTTTTTACCACTCTCCTTGTTGAGTCAAAGTGAAAAAAAATCAATACCCTCGACGCAAATGTCATCAATGGGATGCTTTGCTTTTATTCAAAAGCCAGAAGGAGATGGTCGCGGTGAACTCGATTGTGATTTTGATGTTGAAGGTAGGCTAAGTATATACCTACACGTTTTTCACTAAATACAACGAGAGCAACAGCAATTTGTTCTCTGAATTCTGGTAGCTATAACAACTTTTTATGTTCCGCTGAGATATTCCTCGAATCATTACATTTTTCAGCATATATGCGACAGTACAAAATATAAGCATTTGTTGCAGCCATATCAATCAATTGGTAGAAAATTCAACCATTTCGCTACGTGTCTTTACTCTAAAATCTAATGTCTACTATGGTAGTGACCCATCAATCCATCCATTAAATCGACTCCTCCCATATGTCTGTTGTATTCGCGAATGATCTACGGACAGTTGACTTCGACGTATTTCTTTTTCTTTCGATCATATCGTGGTACTTTTGCAATATTTTGATTTGGATTTGCTCTCAAAAGCGGCCCAATGCCAACATAAGTCGATAGCAGCCGCACGTTCTTGCGACAACACCGTACACTGATCCAGCATATTTAACAGAATATCCTCTTTCCTTATCTTTGATCAAGGGAAGCTTACAGTTTGGGATTCTATTTGTCCATATTGTACCAAAACTATAGATTCCTCTTGCACGTAAATAAACTAACTAAAGGTAAATAAATATATAAATTGTGGAAGTAACGAATGTGATGAGAAAAGCTGGGTGTGGTCTGTGGCAAACCTACAACAACGTTTGAGGTACTTCCAAGATCGGGTGCACCAAAAAGAATTATATTGTCGCATGCACAATAAATTTCAAAACGATATACGTAACCTTGAGAATCACAAAGCAAAGTACAGTTTGATGTCCCATTTGTGCATCTTATTTGAAGTAAATTGACGAAGACAAATGTTTACAATAAAAAAAAAATATTCTTGTAACGAATGGCTGTACATGTGAAAAAAAAAAAAAAACAAATCGAAGTAGAAACCCGCTTAAAAATTTGGCTTTGCTTTAATTGATAAGAAAATTATTTCTTATATATTTGTAGGTAATATAATATTATTATTGATCTTGTGATGGAAAACTTTTATTAACCTAACAATATATACCCAGCCAATTGCACTGTTAATTTCCCCTTTACTTTTTACTCCACCATATCCTATTATCTTTACATTACAATGTAACATATTTGATTAAAATTTTGTACATTGTATTGATTAATAACATTTTAGAACTGTTGACAAGCGCGTGGCAGTCTATTTATATCGCTTGGTAATCAAATTCATGTAGCCTATTAATAAAATATTGGTTCAGTATCGTCAACCATTGGTGTATACAATTGGACCTTTGAATTAGTTGCAATAATTACTGTTACATTTGCTTTATTCAGAAGCGTTAAATTGAACTTTCAACCTTTAGAGAATTTAAACTAATTATTAATATTTTAATAAGCTTGTAAATATAATAACACAACGCTAAAATTTCTCTTGGATTACATTGTTAATTAAATTGTTATTAATATTTTATATTAGCTAGGTTTATATATTAGCTTATATAGGTGAGACGTCTAAAAGACTAAGAGAGAAAAGAGAGATTAAAAAAAGGCGTCTAGCTGCAATGGAAGCCTAGATAATGTAAATTTTTCCTACGTGTTTCAATTTAAAGTTCAGATCTCGAAAAAAAAACGGAGCTGAAACAGTTCAACAGTTCAACAACTTTCCTATGTCGATCTTTCGAAAGTACCTTCGTTGCGAAGGGATGTAAGTTTCGAAAAATTCAATGAATTTTAAAGCTATAAATTTCAATATAAAGTTTAAATTTTTAGTCAACATTACTGTTGATGCGATGAGATTAATAAAATGAGCCTTAATTATTCGATATATAAATTATAAAAGCCATATAATTTCTTTGTGACTCATTGGTTCGGGTTGACACGAGCATTGGTAAAATAATTAGATTTTTACATAGCCGAGAAAATCGGTTTTGCTTATAAATTTACCATCCAAAAGCAAAAACAGAACAATAATATTTGGATGGATTTTTAGGATGCAATTAAAATATGTCTTTGCGCAAATCAGAAGCCGCTTCAGCAGCTCGCTCTCAAGCTTTAATCGGCTATAAGTTCAAAAGTCTTAGCAGTTGTACTGAGGCTTGCTAGAATCTGTTGGCTGTAGACCGCACCTTATTTATAACACTGTTAAATTTGAGCTATCTATAGTACAAAAGCCTGACAATATTTTAGCAACCACGGGAAGGAAACAAGTCTGAGACTGAGTTATACCTAGTGTGGAGTGTAAAGCAAACGCCACTTTTGTTTGTTTTGTTAATGTTACAATTTTCATCTTGGGGATGATGATATTTTCTAGAAAAAATATGAGAAATAATCTTACAGATGAAGTAGTAGTAGGGTAGCTCAACAATTAGACTGGATGACCACCGAAATATTTATATGGCATTCCAAATATTATTTATATGAATTTATTGGATTTATTGGAATACGCAAAAGAAATGGGTATTCATATTATTTGCCTGCATTTACATTGCACTTATCATATGTGACCCGTTGACGTCTCTCCCGAAATAACAGCTCCGATCTCAGGTTCAAACAACAAACAAAGGGAAACGTAAAAAAAATCGACACATTCGATGATGTTAAGTTGTACTCCTAATCTAAAGATTAGCCCCAAGCTTTTCCAACAAGAAAAAAACGCAAAGCCACTAAAAAATTAATTAAAGAAAATGATGAGAAAGAAGATTTTCCTAATATTTCAAAATGACAATGAAGAAAACTGTGGTTGCATTTACTGTAACGGCTGGTTACGAACAGTTCGCTTTGGGCTTACGCTTCTTGAACTGATGTTTCAAGAATAACTATTATTTTCAAATTATGCCAATAATTTTGTACATATTATATTTATGTCATTTTGTTCATTGGAAATATGTCATTTTGTTTGAAGCATAGGGACAAAATAAATTATAATTGATCTCAGTTAAATATTTTGAAGCCAAGCTTCTATACTGGAGTTATATTATTTTTTTCTCTATTCCCAGACAGCACAAGTACGTCCCATGGACGTCCGAACGATGTATCTCATTAAATGTCCGGACATCCCACGGATATCCGTTTACATAATTTGGACGTCCCCAGGACGTCCAATAAGACCTAAATGTTATCAAAAAGTACGTCTCCTGGACGTCCCAGGGATGTTCACGGGGACGTACATAGTACATTTAATACGGACTTATATAGGACCTAAGAAGGATGTATTGGGGACATCCATTGTACGTTCACATGGACTAATACAGAACCTAAATGAGGATGTATACAGGACCTAAAGGGAACTTACAAAAAACTAATAAAATGAAAAGCAAAAATAAATGGGATTTTTATTGTGTACTTATATTAACATATTATGTATTTAAATTTATAGTATTTCTTAAGCACATTACTCGTACTTACTTTACAAATGTAGTAACTCGCACCAAAACCACAAAAATTACCTATAAAATTCCTATATACCTACTTAATGTCTATAATAATAAATTACCAAACTATAAACTAGTATCGAAAGCAATAAACTAATTC